ACAATAATTCTTAATTATCTAAAATAATACTACTAATAATAAATAAATAAATAAATAAATAAATAAATATTATTTGATAGTTGATACTTGAAAACAAAATTGAAATAGACGTGTTTCAAGGAAAAAAATTGCTAAAATAGGTAAATTAGCATATAGTTAATGAAATAATGCTTAATTCACATATGCAAACATGTTATTTTAGAACCTGGTAACAATTTATTTAAAGGTGTCCTTGTTGCAGTGTTACTATCGCAGCTTGAGTTGCTTGATGTTTTTGCATGAGGGACACTTTATGATAAAGTTTAATCTATAAATATTAATTATTTATGATTAGGCTTAATTGATTAAAAAATGTATAAAAAAGATTTTATAAGGGGTTTAAGTAAAGTTATGTGTCAACAGTCTGTGAATATGACCAGCTTCTAATGGTATGTATATATATTAATCACTCTTGATAAAAATAGTCTGCAGAAACACTTTGATTGACATGCCTCCTTTTTTACATTGTACATAAATAAATAAATAAATAAATGAAAAAATAAATGCAAAAAATAAATAAATAAAATATATATATTTTTTATTTATGTATTTATAAATAAATACATGAATAAATAAATTAATTAATGAATACTTAAATAAATAAATACAAATATAAATAAATAAATAAATAAATAAATAAATAAATAAATAAATAAATGCAAAAATAAATACAAATATTTAAATACAAATAAATAAATAAATATTTTACTTTGAGTGCAATGAAACTAGAACATAAGTTTGCTTCTTTATTAATTAAATTGTAAAATAATATAAACAAAACAACTTTTTGATGTTATAGTAATTTGTGGAGATGTGCCTATTGAATCAAATAATAAATGACTTGGCAAAAAAGCAAAAAGCCAGTTTTAATCTCCATTTAATTGAACTCCCACTTCATTTTCCCCACACGGAGCTGCCTCAGACATGTTCTGAATTGAATTGAACACACACAAACACACACACGCACATAAACACATCTAAATCAACACAATGACGATGAATATACAGAACATCCACATTTATTTATTTATTTGATTTCCCCCCATTGATTTTCCCCTGAAGTACTCTTCTAATGTTTGTAGTTGAGCTGAAGGAAAGCTGGTAACGGATTGGCGTGAAAGCGAATGATTTGGTGGAAGAGGCTGGCGCTCCACGTCCTTTAGACTTGATCTGAAGGCCTTTTGCTATAAGTCCTGGAAGCAGAAGCTGAATCTGACGGCAAGTTTGAGCGGATGCCATGATTGGCGGGATTAAAGCTGAAGCGTCTGCGCAGCATCCATGTTGACAGACAAGCAGAGGAAGGACTTTAGTGCTTATCCAGCGCAGCTTCAGACGGACCAAAAACATGATTGTTGGGCTTCAGAAAAAAAGCCAGGAGAGAAGCGGCTCTTTAAGGAAGAAATAAATGATGATTGAATGAAAACTGGTGACACTGGAAAATAACAGACGCTCGGGATGATGATGGAGATACTGTGTGTATTATTTACTAATCATTTAAGGGATTGGAGTCAATTACACTTCTTATGCTAATATGCCTATAAATGATGGATGGATGGATGACATGGAATGAATGAATGAATGAATGAATGATTGAAATAAATGAATGAATGAATGAATCAGTTGGATGAATGAATGAATGAATGAATGAATGAATGAATGAATGAATGAATGAATGAATGAATGAATGAATCAGTTGGATGAATGAATGGATGGACAGAGAGATTGATGGATTTGATTGATGAATGAATGAATTATTAGATTAATGGATCTGGTGAATGAATGAATGAATGAATGAATGAATGAATGAATGAATCCAATGGATTAATGGATACAATAGATTAACGTAATGAATAGATTGATCTGTTGAATGAATGAATGAATGAATGAATGAATGAATGAATGAATGAATGAATGAATGAATGAATGAATGAATGAATGAATGGCTGGATAGATGGATTTAATGGATGGGTGAATAAATGGTGGAAGGATTGATGGATGAATTAATAAATGAATTAATGGATGGATGGATTTGATGAATGAATGAATAAAATGAATGAATGGATGGATGGACGGATGCATGGATCTGATGGATAGATGAATAAATGAATGAATGAATGGGTGGTTTAATGAACTGATGAATTAATTGATGTATAAACGAATTAACAGATGGACAGATCTCATGGATGAATAAATGGGTGGATGGATGAATCCAATGAATAGATGAATGAATAAATGAATGAATGAATGGATCTGATGGATTAATTGATGATCGATTCAGTGAATGAATGTGTGAATTCAATGAATGAATGAATGAATGGATGGATGGATTGATGGATCTGATAGATGAATAAATGGGGGTATGAATGAATGAACAAACGAACGAAGGAACAAACGAATGGATGGATGGATGGATAAAAGGGAGGATAAGTGATGGAATTCTTTTTTTCTAATGAAATTAGCTTATACTAAATTTACTCTCTCTCTCTCTTTTTCTCTCTCTCTCTCTCTCTCTCTCTCTCTCT